TGTAGAACTCCCAATTGGTTTTAACGGTGCGTCAGAAAGTGCAGGAGAAAAATGATCTCAACGGAAGTAAGAGCAACAATGAGCAAAGGGTACGGACCCGTGGGAGGGAATTAGTGTATTGTAAATTTCTAAATACACGCTTGGTTTAACAACATGCAAGTTGGCTAACTTGGTTTGTCACTCACAAGTTATGATACTGTACGTAAGAGACGAAACGTTATAGCTACAGTGAGTCCGATCCCCAGCAAAAATCGCGAATCAAAAATTCGAATAATGCTTTTCCCTCAGTTAGGTGCTTCTAATCAAAAGTACTCGCAAGTAGCCCAGCACCTCTATCCAAGGCGTTTTCTAGAGCTGGCTTGGCCCCACCGCGGATATCTAAAAGCCCCCGAGTGATAGAGCATGATTCCTCCGATGTTGCGGAGTTTAGGGGACATGCATATACGTTGACATGGGCTAAAGGGGCTACTAGTGTATACCCTAACAGCTCTTATATAGCTCTAACAAGGTGATATATATCCTCTTAGGTTGCACAGAGCCGTGGCATTCCAAGACCCCCGGCTACCGATCCCCTAGTGAAGACCAGGAATGTGCATTCTTATTCTCTCCCTGATAGTTGCATTTGACCGGGGAATTGGAACTGGGGAGGAGGGGGGTAGTCTGCGGTGCCAAATTATGAGGATGAAGAGCGCCCGCAGACATATCTATAGGGTAGAGAAGACCCCATGGGGAAAAGTGCTAAGAGTTTCGGGTTCGAAATGATACTGAAGTGGTGGAAAGAGATATTTGTACAATAAAATCATTTTTACCACATGAGTAAACTACTAATATCAGAGATATAGGGCGTGATATGAAATTGCCTTGGATCAATACCATTCTCAATACTTTGAGCTTGCCAGAATATTTTCAACTAATCTCCTTATGTCTCAGGCCCGAGCCAGCTTAAGGTATCTTCTGATATTGCATAACATTGGCGAATATTGGTAAATTTTAAGAGATATCTGTAGGCATTTGACAACATTTGTGCGCGTCTTAGGATCTTTCTGTTTGGGATTGACAAAATATCTACTGCATGCACGTTTCGAGATAAATCCCGGGGTGCGAGGCCCAGGACAGCCTCACTTTGCCCTGACTATATATCCACTAGCTATCTACGGGCCGCCCTGACGCCCAGTGATCGCCGTTCACGACGCTTTGGTGTCCCTACTTGGATTCGGTCGGGTCCATTTCCGAAACAGTTGTCTCGGAACTTTTGTAACGGAAGGGTAACTGCCATTTGTTGCATGGGTGACGGATCGGAATGGTCATGCCCAAACATGCCTGAAAGCAGAAGTGGCGATCGACGGAGCGCCAACCGGTAGAGGGCCCGTGCTACCGGACCCGAAACCCCGGTACCCTTACCGGCACTCACACGAGTACGCCCGACCACAGTGAAGTATGAGTACCGTATGATGATGACACTGACACCCGCTTTACCTGACGAGAGCTGGCAGAGACTATTGTGTTGAAAATAGGTAGCCGAGGTGAAGCTCGCAATTGCGTTAGAGTCAGGGCTCTGAAAGATTTAGCCCAGGCTGTAAAAGAGTTAGGATCATGTGTTTTCTTGCGATTTCAAGACAAAGACCCTTGTAGGATAATAGCCTTATTTGAATCGGCTAGCGCCTACCGGTTCTCATCAGATAATTCCGTACCGATATGCGAGTAAGCCGGCCGAACTTTGGTGATTCGACGGAGTTGCGATCCCCTCCCCCGTCCCCAGATTTTAGCGTGTGGAACTAACCAATTAGCGCAGATTCAGCCACCCTCCACAGTAGTGAGCCACTCCCGGTCGATCCACCCCTCCTAAAAATACAATTCCTCGAACTGGTAAGGCTCCCGAGCCAAGCTCATTGTCCTGAGCACCTGGTCAAGTAGACTAACCATGACCAAATCTACTACCGCAGTCCTGCTTTTAGTTGTTTCTCCAACAGTCACGATGAGCAGTACATAATGTGCAGTGCTCGGAGCGCTACACCCCCACAAAGTTGCTGTACTAAAGCTTTTTTTTATCCTGATTACTGTAATAAGTTAGGGATTCGGATTTCAATCTGGGCCAGAAAGTCGGGTGATTCAGGCCGGTACTGGTGAGCAAGCTGTGTGGTTCGTCTTAATTTGCATGGAGATTTCTACCCACCATATGTGGGTGGTCGTCACCCTTCCGTGCATACCGTTTGCTATAGATCCTTGAATCCTCTCCGTTGCGGAAGCTGTAATATCTAGGGGGGCGATGGGACCCTTCGAGAGAAGAGAGGATGACAGGAAACAGAAAGGAAAAAAACGACCCCGGTGAATGGAGCACGACTCTGTCTTTAGAAGTTAGAACACCAAATCAAACCTTTTTTCCTTCCGACCTTCTTTTGGTTCTTTTCATCTTCGAACCTGGCGACCTTAAACAACTTGTGGGTAACCTCGCTATTCACAACTGAAAAACTCCCTGCGCCAGTGACCCATCAAAGAATTCGTGCATCGTCTGCCGGGAAACACCAGAATTTCGAAGGCGTATCATACGACAGTATCATACCCCAATAGTTCGTGTCGGGCAAAAACTGTTCTTTTATGGTCACCCTTGCAGAGCTAGTTACCCACCATGACGACAATTTAAAACAAGGTGGAGGATGAGTGTACGAGTACGGCACAAGTTTACTGACAACACTGTTTTTCTTTCATCTTTTTCTTTTCTTTTCTGCAGTTATGGGCAATCCACGCTACCGTACTCGAGAGGCCGAATTGAAGCCGGAAACCTCGAAACGGAAGCCGATCTGCAGGCCAATCAAGTAACGAGATTTCCTAGTTTCTTAGCCCTTGATTGGCCCGGGGGTGGCTAGGTTCGCCACAGTGCTCGGCTTCGGCTCGGCCGCGGGGGTACTTGTGCGGGTACGGTATGGTACTCGTGTTACCTCGCCGGATCGGGCACAAGCACAGAATCTCCGTGCAGGGTTCTGACCTCCATACTGTACCAAGATGGGGCGTCTCTATAAGGCATACGGTAGTGTTGAACAAAAAATGCGCAGGCCGACTGCGTCAACCCCTGTTAGCTACAACCCTTCCTGTGCTGTTTTCTGATCAATACTAGGCTGTATCCGGGGCCTATCGTCATGGTATGGGGGTTAGAACCCTGCACGGAAATAGCCGAGAATAAGGGTAACCTGTAGTGAAAGAAGAAAAAAAATATTGTGGAGCTCTTGTCAAGTGACAGAGCCAATGCCATCTTCTAAACGGCCTCGCGGTCACCCTTGATACCCGTACGTTCCCAACCCGACTAGCCCCCAGTGCGCACGTACCATGCATCGCAAACCGCGATGCCACAAAGGCCATGTCAGCATTGTAAAAGCCCTTGCACCAATCCGCAGGTTGCGTCCCCCGCACGGCATATCATCCAACACACGAATGGCCCTCTCCCGGGTTCCCGTTGCAAGAAGCATCCGAACGCAAATCAACCCAACCCAACCGAACAAATCAGCCTCTTTGCTCCCCCACTTCCCCAAAGGGAAAAAGCAACTCCACGCAGGAATAACGACATATCCACGAGGAAACGGACGGGAAAGTTGAAGAAATGCGGTACTCGCAGTCTATGGATGTTCTAGGGGCCTGGACATTATTTGGTGGCTTTTGGGTGGCAATATTATATGATGTATCATATCATAAACCAATAATGCCAGAGTGTAACCGATGACCTATTCCCTCACCCTAGTGCTCAGATTCTATTCCTAAGGTCTAATAGGACGGAAGCAGACTACACTCGCTAAGAATAGCTTGGTACCGGTATCCAATTCCCTGCATCCGGATTCCTAGCCATGCTGCAAGCACCGAATCATCAACTCGCCATTCCTCCGAAGTACTCCCAGCCCGAGCCCTCCTAGGACATACGGGAGCGCCATACCGATGGGCCTTCCCAGCGGCCCCAAAATGACGGACTAGACAGTCGGGTGCACAACCAAAATTAGAAGGAAAAAGCTGGTAAGCTGGTAATCTAATCGGCAGAGCAAGGTCGGGGGTTCTTGCGTCACTGAATCTCAATTGATACATCGCTCCAATCACCTATGGCGGGCATCCCGAAACGTATGCGCAGTACACGAGAACCCAAGGGCGCTTAAAATGGCTAACAACGCTATATGTAACTGTCCGGCTTCAAGCTAACCTGTTATGGCATGTTGGTCAGTTTCTCTGATTAGCGGTGGGATATTGGTGGGCACGGGTTGGGTTGCATGCATGCCGATCGTGCGGCCATAAGTCAGTCCCATTCGAAAACAAGGCTGAGGGGCAAAATCTCGGGTAATGTACACGGAGGCTTAGCTATTGCTGCCCGATCAGATGGTCTCTGTGGCCCACTAATAGGGGAAAGAAAGAAAAGAGGAGAGGGAGGGAAAAAAGAAGTCCTTTCCCGGGAAAACTATCGTTTAAGAATTCTGCTACACAGATTTCCTTCCTTCACTTGTTGCTTTCCCAACTTAGTGCTGAAAACTCCTCACATTCGACCCTCCGGCCCAGCTTTTTATTGCCCACCGCAGCCATTTGCTTTTCCAATGGACACGAGCACTACCTGTGAGGAACAGGAACCATGCTAGCATAATTATTCCAAACACCAGAGCCTCAGTTAGCGAAACTAAACCATTTACTATAATTCCTTGGATTCCATTCGCTTTTGGCTTTGGCTAATGTTTGCGGTGAATCCTCACAGAAGAATAGTAAACCGATACGTCGGCTAAGCTGACAGGCCACGGTGGTAATTATAGAGAGAATTCTGTGTCAAAGAAAATATTAAAGAAAGAACATAACTCCATTCATATGTGAACACTCCTATCGCTTCCACTCTCCTCCAGTTCCTGGATCCCCAAAATACAGCCCTAAGTACCAGTAAAAATATAAAAATATAGTATAAGAAACAGAAATTTTTTTCAATACCGAAATAATTCCAAAGAAGCCCAAAATCTGACCAGAGCTTGTCCCGAGATTCTATTGCTCGAAACAGTACCGCAGGGTGAGCCCAAGGTGAGGTCTAGGGAGGGGAGTGGTTAGGAACCCAATTAGGAGATGGAATTCCAACGTCGTGGCATGGAGCTCAATCATTCCATCTTCCGTATATATCCAACTAAAATATTCCCTACCCCATTCCTGTAGAGACAGGGCTAATTTTATCAAGCTGTTCTGGAAAAATGTTAGCGGTGTTGAGAGGATTATGGAGGCGGATATCAAGTATTTACCCAATACCGGTAGATGCAAAAGGGGGATCACTGTGGAATCTAGTACATACGGAATGCCAAAGGACTTCGGGCGCTATGCAAACTTCCGCTTGCAGAATGACATTTTGCATCGGGCGCTATAAATTTGCCCTCACGTTCCCGGCCAAGTTACTACCCGCCCGGGCCCTCTTGGATCTGGACATCCCGCAACTTGCATTACCCTCATATCTACACACGGAACACCGTTTCTCTCGCGTGGGGAGGCTCGAGCGGGTGGTGGCGGGTTGGGCGCTGGGATACTAGGGGCTATGAAACATAAAGATATTACCGGGCCAGCAAAATCCGTGGATGGGACGGCAGTTGTCGCTCTGGGAACTTCCGGCTGAGGATCGCGAGGCTAAGAACACATCAACATGTCTGACGACGATGGGGGAGGGACAGGTGTACTAGTGCATTCACGCAGCGTGAAGGGAACAAATAAGACGCAAAACGACGGAATCTTAGGCTTCGGAGAGCCATAATCCCAACAAGCAAGGTAAGGCCAGCAAGGACAATTTCCACTATTACTACCTGACCTTTGCCATCACTATTGCCCTCTCCCTGGTTTTCCGTGTAGTTGCGTTTGTTGTACATCGGTGATAAGGTACCGACCGGAAAGGGTAGGATGGCTGGCATGATGATACTAATGGTTCAAGGTTGAGAGATCCCACGATTCCGTGCCTTGGGAATGAAATGCAGCAGGAGACGCCAATGGGTTGGGTACCTCGGGACAGCCCAGTATAATGGGGGTTGCTTTTAAGGAATCGGCGGGGGAAGAACAAACAACACGATAATATTATATACGATATGGAAGGATGGACACCCGGAGAGTCTTGGTGGTATTATGTCCCTGAGACCGGAGTAAGGCAAGGAGGAGGGTGATGAGGAGATGCCGGGACATTTGGAGCGAAAGGGATTAGGAGTAGAGTTTATATGTGCTTCGCGGTTGGTAGGGATCTGGTTTCTGGCGGGGGGTGGATTGACAGGCTTAGTGGGCCATCTGCCCCATGTGGCAGTGCCCCCCACAGACCGACGGTTCCCGCAGTACGCAGCATGGATACGGGAAAAGCAAACCACCGGGTATAAAGCGGGCAATAGGGCACAGTACCAGTGCGCTACAGCGTAATAGCCGGTTACCCTCCTATCCCTTCATCTGTTCCCGAGTTTCACGCACTTTTAGTGATTTTAGTGAGTGCGGAAAGCGCTCCTCTAATGCCTGTTTAGGAGAGATCGTTGCAACCATTATCTTCTGGACTACTGAAATTCAGGAATTATCACCACCCCTCTCGTCGGCTAAGACGGCGCATGCTTTGGGCTACCACTGTAGTTCTCATTTGTTCTCAGCGTACCTGTAGTAATGGGTATCCTGAAGTGTGCACACCTGCGAATTTCTAGTAACCAACAACAGCATCGCTTACTTATGACTATAGTGGTGGCAAGAAATTTTTAAGGTTCCCGTAGTGGGGAAGTTAGCGTTGTGCTTGAAAACAGACGAAGGGATTTCGCTTCGCTCATGGCTTCGGCAAGCACGTGTGATACCGCTTGTTTTTTTGTAGGGTGATAGTTGTCGACTTCGCCTGATAGTAGAAAGAGGAACAGTGTTAATTGTGTGTGAGATGTAGTAGGAAAATAATATAGAAAGTTATTATATTTCAATTGGGGTCTATACAGTACAGACAAAATTTTAGAGTTAGAAATTCATGCATAGAACATTGGGTTGAGTATGAATATATAGTACTGTACTCGTGTCTCCGAGCCAAGAATGGGCACCTCTTTTGGAATAGCCTCCCCAGATCCATTTATGGTAAAGTCTTGATGCTGCTTTCAGAAGAAGTTAAGACACCACCGAGCAGTGGAAATAAATACTGTGAATTTACCAATCTCCCCTCCCCCTTCCCCCCTCCCAGTAGTGAACTGCCCTATTAGGCATTGAACCTATTGTCACCTCCATAGGCTCGGACTTGTGGAGAGCAATAATGGCACCATGCATAGCCATGGTAAGGCTCTTTCCCTTCATCATAGCACTGTTCATAGTATCAATTTCTGAATTTGGTGCAATTGAGTGAAAGCACCCACATTGGATGAGAACCGGTCTTGTTTATGGAATTTTGAGAACTCTCATGGTAGTTTTATCGTACATTGATATTACCCCACCCAGTTACTGGCATCTTGCGTCACTCTCACTGTCTTTCAAATAGGATGAACACTTTACTACTTTTGGGAGCACATGGCCTATTCCCAATCAGGTGCCCATTCTTGGCTCGGAGACACGAGTACTATGGGAGTTAGAGGACTGATGTAAATTGGTGATTAGGACGTGGCTGACAAATCAGAGTCTAAATCTTCATGTATTTCATTGGATTCTATCCTAGAAATTCTGATTTTGTAGACTTCCATGGAAATAATATAACCTCAGTATTATTTTTCTACAATGTTCTATACATATTTACTATTGCTTATACTTCTCCAACAGGGTTATCATAAGTCACAAACTATCACCCTGAAAAAAACAGTTGTGTCACTTGCTTTGCCCGACTATGAGCGAAGCGGAACAGGAGGTAACCGGGTATTAGGCTATGGGAGTCCAGTCCTATCACACCTCTCGAGGAGTTGATGCTCAGAGGATTTTCCTTCAGCCATGCTCTAACCAGAGTTTATCATAACTGATATCGGGGTGGGTTATTTTATAATCGGCTTGAGCGGTGGCAAATAAACACGAACACCCCGCGTCACAACCAAAGCATCTCGGCTAAACTTCGTACCGGTAAACTTAGTAAAGGAAAAGAGGAACTCCAGTCTCTTCGACAACAGGAATAAAAAAGACACAGCAGACCCAAGCATCGTAGAGGCTAGCCAAATAACCGTGCCATTTGGGGGTTGGTGTTGTGGTGGAAGCAAATACTCGTAGGGCACGTTCGCGAATTTTCCCAGGTGGTTGCGTGGATTTGACGCCACCCACACGGCCATACCGTATTAACTTGAATAAGAGCAACACATCTCAGGACGTCTGACTTGCCTATTTTGGTAGGGACGGGAGAAAATACCAGCAAAATAAAACCACGCGTTACCAAGAGGGAAAACCTAGACGTCCCGAGCGGTGTTGCTCTTATTCAAGTTCATACGGTAGGTTGCCGAAAGTCCGGAAGTACAGTGCAGTACCGATATGGGCACCGGAGGCACAGAAGCCTAGCGGATCACGCCGTTAGAATGGCGAAGCCAGACCTCAGCACGATACCTGTGGACAAGTGATCACCGGACCATCGAGCCAACCGTGGGGAAACGACACAATTAATGATGAGAGCTTGGTCTAAGTAATTAGTTTACCGGTATCACACCCTTGTGCTCTCTGCGAGTGCTGCGCCGAGAAAATCTTTCCCACACCTGTAGGCACTGGGGCATGGAAATTTGGGGAAGTTTTGCTGTGATACCGCGCTCATCAGTTGAGCAGTGCTAAAATCCCTGGCCGAGTTTAATGTGGCAAGGGCCGATTTCCTTGGTCGTTTTGCCAGTGGGGTTATCTTTGAGTTAGTATGATATATCGCGCCCCCAACTACCTCCCACCCCACACTATCCCTTCGTCTGTTTTCAAGCACAACGCTAACTTCCCCACTACGGGAACCTTAAAAATTTCTTGCTACTACTGTCGTCATTAGTAAAAAATGCTGTTATTGGTTACTAGAAATTCACAGGTGTGCACACTTCAGGACACCCATTACTACAGGTACGCTGAGGACAAATAAGAACTACGGCAGTAGCCCAAAGCATGCGCCGTCTTAGCCGACGAGAGGGGTGGTGATAATTCCTGAATTTCAGTAGTCCAGAAGATAATGGTTGCAACGATCTCTCCTAAACAGGCATTAGAGGAGCGCTTTCCGCACTCACTAAAATCACTAAAAGTGCGTGAAACTCGGGAACAGACGATGGGATCCTGTCCTGTCGTGCCCTTCCCTGCAAGCGCTGGGAAGAAAATACCGTCCGGGAAAGATCCTCCATTTTTCTCCTTTTCCCTGTCTCTGTTCCACCCCCCACATGAAGGCACATCCCACATCTGTGTCTGGGCTTGGGAGAGGTCTCATCGAGAAACGGTATTGTGGATTGTTGCGGCTCTGGAGTTGTCAATGCTGGGCGTGGTATAATTATTCTCATTTGGATACTTGGGAATGGAGGGGAGAAATAGAAAAATTTACCTCAACAAACTTGTAGACAAAACCCCTTGACAACGGTCTTATCCAAGAACCATTAAGACCGTATCGTACAAAGCTGAGCTATCGAGCACTACTCGTATAATACAAGTATTTCGTATTTGGGAGGGTCAGCCTGATTGCTATGGTGATGAGGTCAATTCAAGTGACGATCGTAGTAGGAAAACCTCACCATGGATAATATCATAATATTATTATTATGCTTGTGTTGGCGATAAGGCCAACGGGGTTCCGAGCCCCGCGGGGAATAGCGTTGGGTGGGATTAACAGCCAAGACTTCGCCCGACTTTCCCGAGCGATCGTTTCTGATACCAGGGAAAACAGGGGTCTCTGTTTAAGATACCGGTACTGTGATATCTTGTATTCGAGTACCGGTACCCGAGTACAGCTTTTAAGTTTTGTGTTCCACGAGCAAGGGATGTTCGGGTGGTGGGGTACCGAACGCGAATTAGGAAAGTGTTAGCACGGATTAGGAAAATTTCACTGGAAATTGCCCAATTCGCCGCCCATGCCCTCGCTCGCGGTAGCACCCCCTGTAGAACACAAACTTAGGAGTTGTACTTGTACCTCCGTACAAGTGCCAGAGGAGATGTTTTCGTACAAGACAGGGATTATTTTGCAGGTTAACCTAAATCAACTGTGCGAAAACATTATCCCTGGCACTTGTACAATGGGCGGCGCTCGCTGCGCGTTGGGATGATACCCGAGTACTGTAGAGTACCCTAAAAGACGGCTGAGTCCACTATCTCCGGCCGCCCGTGACCCCCGATAGGTTTAGTTTTACGGGTTAATAGATTTGCGAATACCGGTTAGCGAGATCCAACACACCTACCCGGTCGATCTTTTACTATGTGAGGAGATCGCTAATCCTTCTTGGGGGGCTGCCGCAGCTAGTGGGTTTCACCAGATTTTACACTGCGTTAACAATACTGTGCTGCACACATTGGATGCACTGCCACAATATATCACCTTTTCCACTCAAGTGCCTTTCTGCATCTCCTTCCCCGGGGTGCCGCCGAAAGCTCCCTCCATCAACCACGAAATGCATATAAACACTGCCCCTAATCCCTTTCCCTCCAAATTTCCAAGTCTCTCCTCCTCACCCTCCTCACCCCTCTGCCCTCCGTAGACCAGAACCACCGGGTTTTTCATCCTTCCATATTATAACATCGGCATATTATCGTATAGTACAAGAGTTTGTCCCTCCCGTGCTAACTCTGCCAGACCACTCCTATTATACTGGGCTACCCCGAAGATACGTAGCGCATTGGCGCCCCCGCTGCATTTCATCTCGGGGCACAGTATCGGCAAATCTCTCAATCCTGAAATCACTTCATAATACCATCATGCCAGCTATTCCGGCGCTTCCCGTAAAAGCCTTATCACCAATGTACGACAAGCGTAATTGCGCGGGCAACGAGGGAGGGGGGAGTAGTGACGGCAAAAGTCCGGTGGTCATAGTGGGAGTCGTTATCGCTGGCCTTACTTTGCTCGTTGGGATTGTGGCCCTCGGGAGCCCAAGGTTCCGGCGTTTTCT